ATTGAGCCAGGACCACAGTCTAAGCTCCCTCACTCCCAGTCCTGTGCTCTTCCTCTTTCTAATCAATGTCCTGCTTTGCTACCCCAATTATTTGGTTTATACTGGGAATAAAAGAGCTTGTGCAAAAAGAGCTTGATTATTACATGCTTATAAAGGGAAAGTAAAATTATCATTTTTTTAGAACTAAAGGGAACCTTAGAGATTATTGACTTTGGCTTTTCATGTTTCAGAAGAGAAAAATGAGGCCCAGAGGAGTTACTTCAGTCTTCCAAAGGAAACTTATTAATAAGTACAGCTACAAGTTTTTGTAACAAGATACCCACCATCCCTAAAGAATAGGCAATAGAGGTATTTGTTCACTTGTGGTCTGCAGTAGTGATAGGTTGTGCTGTGCCCAACACACACGCACACTCTAGCCCCCTTATAATGTTAGGATTACAAGTTGGGTGACTAGCATAAACGGAGTATCCTAAACAGACAATTTGGCAGCAGATATATGACTCTGTTCTCATTAGCACTGTCTTTTCAACCAGGGATTCCTGAAATTCAGTGTGTATCAGATGCTTTATAAGGTGACAAAAAGCAGTTTATTGACCCAGGTGCATACCTGTAATCCTAGCAACTCAGGAGGCCAAGGAAGGAGCATCACAAGTTTGAGGCCAGACTCAGCAACTTAGTGAGACCCTATCTTAAAATTTAAAAATACCAAAAGGGCTGGGGATATAGCTCAGTGGTAGAGCACCCTGGTTCAGTCCCCAGCACCAAAAAAATAAATAAATAAAAAATAAAAATAAAAAGTCAGCCTATTAAAAATACACAATCTTGGCCCCACTTCCAAAGATTTTGATTCATTTGATCTAGGGTACAGGCCTGTAATTTGCATCTTATAAACAAACCAGGTAACTTCTATCCAATTATCTGCTTCAGATTCAGAAATATTTGGTCTATGTTAAGGCATTATATTTTGGTGATCACAGAAAATTCTGGACTTTCTCACTTAGAATAAGAAAATTGTACTTTCTAACTCAGAATAAGGTGTTAGATGCAACATCAGACCAGCCAGTCCTAGGTGTCTTAAGCTCACTCTCCTCTGGTCCTGCCATTCACAGTTATTGAGTTGCCTCTCTCCTCGGGCTGCTTGCTAAGACAGCTAGCAGGTGCAGGTAACAATGTCCTCACACTCATCTGCACTGCAATAAAAACTCCAAGGAACACAGAAGTTTACATGTGGCTTTGCTATTTCTCGGTGAGTCTCTTACCTACAACTCCTTTAACAGCTCCATTGAGATTCCGCTTGGTTTTCTAACCAAATATAACGGTTACTTATCTGGGGCCAGATTTTATAAATCCAAGTTCTTATTTTAAATAACTCTCTTTTCCAAACCACTCCCTGCCTCCCACAGAGGAATACACTTGCACAGACCCACAAACACCATTTCTTCTATGGGATTTTGTCATTCCTCATCTGTGTACCCTGCTGTGTGTGAGAACCCGTGAAGACAGGAAAGGGAAGAGAAAATTGTGCTCGTGGAGTTATAGTATGGTGCAGAAAATCAACCACGCAACAAAAAAACAACTAGTCGTGTTTTAAGCAGCACGTGAACATATGCAAGATAAAAAATAGAATCTAACCTTCACAGACGGAGGAACTCTTGTGTTTAAATGTTGACTTTGTTGTTTTCATGATTTAATTCCTAGAAGTAGAGGGCTTGGTATTTAGCGAGACCGAAAAGAAACACAAGTGCCCTTTGCATTTGCTTCTCTTAAAGCAGGCAGTGGTACGCACTCCCTGATCTGCTTCCTGCGCTGCCTCATTCTTTTTCTTAATTGGCTCATAGGTACAGACAAATCTTGTCTCTCTAATGATCGTAGAAGATGCTCAAAGGGAGGAAGTAACCGTGTCAAATATTTCTTCTGTGTCTCCTACAGGGTCCAAAACAATGTCATTTTTTTATAACCAAGAGTGACACCCTTACCGTGTACTAGGCTCTGTATGAGATGCCAGTGTCAGAGATGGCCAGTATCTCTGCCCTGGCTCAGCAAGCATTTCTCAAACTTTTTCCAAATTAGATCTGTGCATGCATTGATGGTAGCCCCCTTCCCCTGCACACCAGTGGTGGTGCTCCATCAGGGACACCGACAGGTGTGCTGTATTAGCTAGCAAGGGCTGCTGGGACAAAGCACCACACACACCAGGTGACTCAAGCAACAGAAACTGACTGTCCCACAGTTCTAGAGGTTGTCAACCCAAGGTCAAGGTGTCAGCCATGTTGGTCTCAGGGCTGACGGAGAGAAATCCATCCCATGCCTCTTTCCCAACTCGTAGGAGCACTGCCCGATGATTTCTGTCTTCCTCTTCACCTGGTGTTTTCCCTGCATCCTATCTCTGGGTCCAAATCCCCTCCTCCACCTTTTAAGGGCACATCTACTCAAGTATGACCTCATGTTAACTAATTATATCTGCAATGACCCTATTTCCAAATAAGGTGACATTCTTTCAGATATTGGAAGTAAACATTTTAGCATTCAAACTTGAGTGAGGTTATAATTCGATGCATAATTCATATAAATAACTAGATACGATGGCCAATGCTATAGGGGAGCATATGAGGAGCTATAGGGGCACGTGAGAGGTCATGGCACCAAGGACAAGCATCCGAGAAAATGAGTCAAGTGGCAAAATGCTGAGTGGACAATGGATGTTCTCCAAGTGGGGACAGAGGAAGGGACATTTGATTAAAGAAATGTCTGTGGGAGAATTCAGAAAATATTATGGGATGAAGACTGGGAGAGGGGTGTCTAAAGAGAGGGGAGATGGGACTGGAAAGGAAGGTAGAAGCCAGACCATGAAGAGCCGTGCCACAGTGAGTGACCAGATCCAGAGGCATGAGAAGCTACAGGGGACTTTCAACAGGAAATATTCTGATTATTTCTGCATGCTTGAAAATGGCTGGTGAGAGTATGAGTGGGCACCAAGTAGGGTCATGCTGGAAGCCCATTTGCAAGTCCGAGCAAGAAACTATGGGGCTCTGGATACATTTAAGAGCAATAGAAATGGAAGAGGGGCGATGCATTTCCCGTGGGAAGTTTTAAAGAAACGATGAATTCCAAACAAACAGCAGTTTAGAATAGTTTTCGTGTGGACTGAGAGAATGTAGATGAAGTTGGTGAGGAAGCCAGGGGCCAAGATATGGAGGTGCAGAAGAAAACTCTGGGAGGGAGAAAGATTTGGGGCAAATCCTGAGGATAACGGCATCTGATTGGCCCACGCTACCTGAAGGATTTCCACTCACCTACCCCATCATCATTCACACACTTCTGCTTGCAGTGTTGCCCTTGATCCTCAAAGGGCAGGAAATCTATGTTCAGATAATCTCTAAGCAAGTTAGAAATATTATTCCCTAATAAGGCTTCAAAGGGAGCATGACACCATGGTTTGAGAAGAACAGAAATCATAAGGCTTGTGATGTTTTCAGGTCCCGTGTCTTTATCAATGGAGAGAAATGCAAAGCAGTTCATCATCACAGATGTAGCACCACCATTCAGCACCTGAGTGCCTACTGTGCACCAGGCATGTGGCATTATTTATTATCACAGATATGGCACCACGGCTCATTACCTGTTTTCTTCTTCTTTTATTTTTTCTTTAAATTATTTTATTTTTGTGTCAGCTAAAAGGAAATTGACACAATGAAATCTCAAAAGACCTTAGTGACTTTTTTATCTACTGGTCATGATGCAGTTAGTCTCCCCAGAAGTTGCAGAGTTTCTCAGAAACTGAACACCAGTGAAAATTAAATTCTAGGTAAAAAGGAGATGGGCATTGAGGCCATCCTGTTGTACTCCTCAAGATGGGCCTTTTCAGGTATCTTCCTTTTCCAGGATTTTTTATTCTTGTCGATGAACAATCTGCAACCTAACCTACAGCACTACAGGAGGTTAAGAAGTAACATTTCTGTAGCAAATGCATATTTCATACTTACTTAGCAGGAACCAGGGGCTGCTATGAGCCGTTTATATACTCTCAACTTTCTTAAATCTGATAACAATCCTAGGAGGTATGTTCTATGATTATCTTCATTTCCAGATTAAGAAGATGTCAGAGGACCCCAGGAAATATCCCACTGAACCATGAGGGGAAAGAAATCTGGTTCCTCAAGTCATTGTAAGTCGCAAGTTTGTGACTCCAGCAAGGGAAAGGGAGGCTACTCCAAGCAGAAAGAGAAGATTCCCTGAAGGTTCAGCAAGTTGGGGTCACCTCCTCAGTCGGATTTGCATTTTACTGTACTCCCTGACATGAACTAGAGGAGCTAGGAGTTCAGGGCTCCTTCCTTCTTCTTTAAAAGGAAAATGGAGAAGCAAAAATTACTTTACTGGACATCAAGAGAAAGCCTAACTGTGCCCTCCGGGGATTCATTTGGGTGGACTACTTTCACACCAAGCTAAACTCCGGAGTTCGGAGTGGGGTCATGGGGACCCCGCCCTCATTCAATGCAAGAGCCATTTCCTCTTTTTAAAGTACAAGCAAAGATGAAGTCGAACTCCATCCAAACAGGAAATCACCAAGAATCTAGGTAAAACTGGCGCCTCATATCTAAAGGTCAACTTATTTTATTCGCCCACCGGGTATTTCCCGAGTGCCTACTATGTGCCAGACACTTGGCATGTCTTTGTTACGAATCTAGTGTGTTCTCGGAGAAAGGATAAGAACACACACACACATATACACACACACCTAACAAAGCTTACAAGAGAAAGGTTTTTTAGGGAACTTAAGTCTTTCTAAAAATAAAAAAAAAAATAGAAATAGAAATAACCTTCACACACACCCCAACCCACCTGGTTTGGGTGCCTCCAAATGTGCGGATTGAGCCCTGAGCAAGGAAGGGGGATGGGCGCGAGAAGTGGTTGGTGACAAAGTGGAGGGCAGAGCCGGCAGAGGCATCGGGAGTTGGCTGGAGAGCTGCGCCAGAGGCAGGTGCCAGCTGAGAGTGGGCGGAGGTGCGGGCGCCTGGCCAGGCGGGTGGAGGCCCGGGTTACCTCTGCCTCTAGGAGTCCGGGCGCGCGTAGACAACGCCCCGAGGCGCCCCTGCTTCTCCAACTCCCCACTCCCGCCGCCCGTGCCAGCCGGGGACACGAGCTTCCCTGCCACCCGCAGAAGGAGCCGCAGGAGCAGTCGCGGCCGCCTCCGAACGACAGCATCCTCAGGAGAGCCGCCCCAGGCTCCGCAGCCGCCTGCCTCGGCCCGCTCTCTGCGCTCCTCCGGGCCGTCGCCGCTGCCTGGCCGCTGGAGGGACACCGGGGCCCTTCACCTGCCCAGGGCGGGCGGGCACAGGGTAGAGAAGGCGTTAGAAGCGGGCGCCCAGGAGACCCCTTCCCAGCGTCTCAGCGCGTTGAGGAAAAGAGACAGCCGCGAGCCCCGGCGCTCCCTGCACCGGGTCCCCAAGTTCAGGGCGACACCCCTCAAAGGGGGTCTGTCCCGCACGGTGAGCTCTCCGGCCGCATCGGCCCCAGCCGGCCCTCAGGACTCCAGGCGCCTCTGGTGCCTGCGCCCCGGACGCCCTCCCGGGTCCCCGGAGACGGCCCGCCCGCCCCCCGGCGCCCACCGTCGCCCGCGCGCCCCGGCTGGGCCATGCCTGGGCTGCGCCGGGACCGCCTGCTGACCCTGCTGCTGCTGGGCGCGCTGTTCTCCGCCGACCTCTACTTCCACCTCTGGCCCCAAGTGCAGCGCCAGCTGCGGCCCCGGGGGCGCCCGCCCGGCTGCCCGTGCTCGGGTCGCGCCTCCTCCGCGGCGTCCGCCGCCTCCTCGAATCCTGGCACCGTCGCGCACAACTTTTCCCAAGCCGGGCCCGGGGCTGAGCAGGACCGCGGCGGCCGCAGCAGCCCGCGCTCCAAGCTGCAGGCCCTCTTCGCCCACCCGCTGTACAACGTCCTGGAGGAGCCGCCTCTCCTCGGTCCCGAAGACTCGCTCCTGGCCAGCCAGGAGGCGCTGCGGTATTACCGGAGGAAGGTGGCCCGCTGGAACAGGTGAGGACCCCGCCCGGGAGACCCGAGCACCGGCGCGTCAGCCCGGCCTCCCAGTCTCATTCTCCCCCACCGCCCGGGCCCTGGGCTGTGGCGACGTCGCCCAGTCCTGAAGCCCTGTCACGGCGCTCGGAGTATGGCCCCCGCGCAGACCCCACCAGCAGTTGCGGACCCCAGAGTTCAGGCCCGAAGTAAGATATCTGTGGCAGAAAAAGTTTCTGGGCAGCGGCGCCAGGAAGAAATGCTCTCAGCCACTCCCCTTGAGCTCCCTGTTGTTGGCCGCCTAGCCCCACTCCTGCTCCCCGGTGCCTTCCTCCCCCTTTCTCTTTGTCCTGGTCTGGAAAGCCGCTGCTGGACTTCGGGTTTTCAGAATGAGGTTTCCAAACAGAGCAGCTCCAGAGCTGGTTCAGATTCAGCACTTGCCTCTGCTCTTTGGGCAGACCTGGGCACTTTCCGGAAAGCAAGCTTACTCCCCTCAAGACGCAGCTCTTTCCCTTCCTTAGCCCTCTGCCCAGTGTCCCAGAGGACAGGATGTCAACTGGAGCAGTTCCCTAACACGGCCACCCCACTGTTTGTACTTAAACGTGGTTTGACCCTGTCTAAACTGAAGCGCTCTAAACTGAAGGCAGTTTATTATCTTTTATTATCGTGATGATTTGGGTTAACTTGGATCTGAAGGTTGATGCTTTTGCAGAGAACAAAAAAAAAAAAATTTGCCTTAGATTTTTTTTTTAACCCAAGCAAAATTTAGAGGGGGAGGGAGACTGGGGGAGGGCTCCCAAACATATTTAAGATAAATTTAAAAAGGGTGTTTTTGTGAGAGGGTGGGAAGTATTAGAGAAAGCAGAGTAGTTATCCCTGAGATCCCCAGCTCATGACAGAAAGCCTTTGTAGGAGTTAAGGACTGTTTTGAAGTACGAAACTTGTCTAAATATCACTTGTATCCAGAATTCACTTTCACACCACACCCATCTCTTTTCTCAATACAAGAGATTTCAAGATATGAGATGTCATCAGTAGTTTTATAGCTCCTCTGGAAGATGAGTAGACCATAAATCTTGGTTGAAACTCGGAGCTAGCCCAATTTAACTGTTTGCTCATTATTCTGTAGTGCTTAAAAACGAAGGGAGGGGGCGGGAATCAAACCCTTCCGAAAGAGGAAGAAGTTGAGAGTTATTGGCTGAAATCACTGTGGTGAATTTCAATTGCAACTCTGTGGCTAATGATTTTATATTAGAAAGAAAGTGGTTCTCAATTTCATTGTTAATTGCATGCAATAAAAAGACAGTTTGAGATTGCTTTTCAGACACTGTCACTTTCAATATTACCTTTATTTCATCAATAACATGGGACTCTGGATCAGTGAACTAGGAAATTTTGCCCCTGGAAACATTATCTACACATTTAATACAGATTTGAGAACGAGGGACTATGGGAAGTCATTAGCTTTTGTAAATGTGGATCAGTGCTCACTCATTTAGTCACATTTTTGTGGCCTTAAATTTCCCCTATGATACTTTGGTCCTAGAGGAAAGTCCAAAGACACATGCACAAACATTCATACACACACACACACACACACACTTTCTGACCAGAATTTATGTTGATCATTTAACAGGGGATCAAAGGGACCTGGTGACCTTGCTGTATTCAGAGGTCACAGAGTAGTTTTATGTGAATGGTTGAATGTGACCATTTCCCAAGCAAGGTTTGTGGGCTACCACAGAGGATCGACTGCACCGATAAATGTGCAGATGGGTGGTGCACACCTATAATCCCAGCTACTTTGGAGGCTGAGGCAGGAGGATGGAAAATTCAAGGCCAGCCTGGGCAACTTAGCAAGACCCTGTCTCAAAATATAATTTTTTAAAGAAGAAAAAGAAACTGGGGACATGGCTCAGTGATAGAGTGTTTATCCAGCATGTGCAAGGCCCTGTGTCCAATCCCCAGTACTTCACCTCAGAGTCAGAGAACACCTTCCCTTCACCCAAACTGTACTGTAAACATCAACAGGATAATATTAATAAGCAGATGTGTAGTGACTTATACCAGTGCTCAAAATGGAAGCAAGAAGATTCCTTAGCCAGTGTGGATTTGAACCACGCCCAGAGTTCTCTTGTAAGATGTAGTAAGTATGAATACTACTCCCTTTAGCCTGGGGGTACCCTCACTTAGGCACATGACCATGAGGACATGAGGAAGTGTGGTGCACAGGGCCAGAGGAGCCACCGCATCCCCCTGCGGACACATAATCGGAATAGACAGCAAAGGAAGAACCAATGTATGGCCTGGCTAATTGTTTGTCTCTTGCACAGACAGACAAGCCCTCCTTGTCCATAGCCCCAACCCTGCCAATATGTAAAATGCAGTGATTTATAAACATATGTGGATACCATATGTATGCCAGTAATTACCTAACACTAACTACCATCCAAAATAAGCATATCAGCAAACTGTCTGCCCCGCCAAGAAAGGTGCATGTGATAAAATAAGCCAAATCAGCATCCTTTGCCACTTGCCCAGAAGAGACCATTAGTCTAAGTGGTTTCTCTTCTTTTTTTTTTTTTTTAATTTTTATTTTTACCACCATACTAATAAGTTATGGTATGAAGTCAGAGAGTGTCTTTCTTCACCTCCAGCTCATTACTGACAGGAGGTAGGTGATGGCTTGTCTCCCCACACAGCACAGGATGAAGCTCACCTACTGTTGTGAATGATTAGGCTCTCGATCGATATTTGTTAGTTGGATGTCAATATTTAGTCATGTTGGAATGCAGAAGGCGGTACGCTGGGTGCAGGTGGGCTGTCCGTGTGCTCCCTGGCCCCCAGCCTTCAGCAAACCTGCTTAACCCTCGTTTCCTCTCTCCCTCCCTCCCTCCTTCCCTTTCTCCCCACGAATGTAACCAAGTGTGGCAAGTCCAAGTTTAAAATGTAATCAGGGAAAGTGTTTCTGTCAGGTCGTCAGCCACTGATCACAGCGGGCAAGCCAACGCCAGGCTCCATCAGGCCCCCTGACGCCTCTGGCACCTGTCTGGAATAATAGCGAAGAGGCAGGAGCGCAGGGAGCAGAGAGATGTCATTTCCACTATTCCTGGCCAGGAACTAACAAGCCAGAATTGGGCTGCTCTCAGTTTGGGTCCTTAATGGGCAATGATGGCGGCCGGCCTCACCTGGAGCTCAGGTAATCGGTTCATGTTGTTGCTATACCGACATCTTTAAAGGCTGAGTCTGGGGTTTCTACTCTGGCCCAGAAGCTGCCCAAGCCAGACAACATCCTTGGACATATCAAAACTAGTCATCTTGGCCTGGCCTTCTGCCAACACATTTTTGGTCGGTTCTTCTATAACCCTTGGTCTTGACCAAAGGCAAGGTCAAATAGGGTCGTGTCTCCCTGTGCAGAAACTCCAGCAGCCACAAAGCAAATGTGAGTTTCCTGCTCTCTGCTTTTCTTCCTGAACTTCTTGGTCCGCTATCAACAAGGTGTCGCTGTCCTGCGATTGGAGAGTCAGCGTCTCTCAGACTCATGCATGCCTGTGTGTCCCCCACCACCGGAAGCCCTTGCCGCCCCCTCTCCTACCTCTTTGCCATCACTGGAAGGAAGCCTGGCCCCCGAGTCTCTGAAAAATCACAGCAAAGAGACTGGGCAGCTTCTCAAAAGTGACAGTTGTTCAAGGGGAGGAAATTGGCTGAAGTTTTCCTGGGGGAAACTTTGAGAAGATCCAGAAGCCAAGGCAGATAGGGGAGGGAGGGGGACAGAAAGCCAGGATCTGAGATGAAAAAGAGAATTCAGCTGGAAATAAGAATGGTGTAGAGGAGGAGTTTTTGAAGGATAAGCTCCTGCCCCTATCGCATCCATGACATGAACAATATAATCTCTTCACTCTCCATCCTTGTTGCTCTCTGCAGTTCATCTCATAACTGCCCAGGGCTTTTGAACCGTAGCTTCCTGGTGAGCAGTTCAACCCTCAAGGTGGACCAAACACTACTAACTTACGAAGGGTGACCACTTTCCTTTCTCACAGCAGCAACAGGGCCTAGGCCCCTTTTCTGATTCCGAAGTGGTCAGGCATGGCCTCCTGCAATTTGAAAATGTTCCTGAGCCACACCAGCTGTGTGTGTTCAGCAGAGGGCTGGGGATCCATTCCCATTCCTCCAATTAGAGCCTGGCTTGGCGGGTTTTGGAAAAGCTATTATTTTAGTGGTTTCTGAAACCCCGGACTTTTGTAGCTGAAAAAAAACCTCTTCGCTCTTTTCAGAATTGAAAAATCTCCCTGCAGATAGTTCCTGAGGGGGACAGTCTAAAAGGCCATTTCCAGGTTTCTTCTGCTTCGTTCCAAACCCTGGTCCTCACTGCCACAGCAAAGACCTAAATCAGGGAGAGCATCCATTTTCTCCTTTCAAGGAGGACAGCACTTCCTATTCCAGCCCCCCCCCCCCCCCAAAAAAAAAAAAACAGAATTTGTCTTATTGTTCCCAAGTCCTAACAACCTCCTTCTACCCCAACCCCAGATCTCATCCATCCTGGGAACCCAAGTGGCTAATTTTTCTCGTGGAAATCCTCCTACCTGGAACTTGCTTGCTGTGTGCTGGGTATTTCCCATACACTTGTTCATTTGGGCCTCTCAGCTTCTCCACAAGTAGGTGCATGAGGTCAGAGTTCCAAGGTGGTCTCCCTGAGTTTCCAGCCCCCCCATGTACACACACTCTCCCTGTTATTCAAACCAGTAGTGATTTAGATACTGATGCAAGGTGTTTTATGGATGTAATTAAAATTCCACGTTCATTGCCCTTGGGAGAGGGAAATGACCTGGTAAGCCTAATCCAATCACATGCACCCTTAAAGCAGAGAGTTTTCCTGAGCTAACGGAACATAAGGAAGCAGATATTAAGAGTACATTGTGCCATTGCTGACTTAAAAGGGAGGGGACCATGGGGCAAAGCAAATGAGTGATCTTAGGAGCTAAGATTACCCCTAACCTAGAGCCAGCAAAAAAAAAAAAAAA